CAGCGTTAAACTGAATTTCTTTTGTAATTGTACCGTTTATCATTTTTTGTGTAAAGGAGAACCGAAGATAACATTGGCGCCGGCGAAAGTTCCTCGTAAAAACACCAAACAATTCTTTTTCCTCAGAATTCGAGCTTTGCCTTACCAATCACGTAGGAGGATAGAAATTCGTTGTAGGTAGATGTTTGGAAAAGTCTTCTAACACCGATACCATTTCATTTGTTTTTGTCGCCAATATATACAAAATTATCTAGTCACCTAATGTTTACTTTTACTAGCAAGCAAATTAGAAAGAAATCAGGATTTGAAGATAATTTTCAGGAATAAGAAAGGGGAGATTTGCGGTAAGTACGTCAGCGTAAAAATTATTTTGTTATGGACTAGCCTTTAGGCAGTTCATTAATTTCTTTCTAAAGAACTTTTGACTTAAAAAATCAAAAGTTTGTTTCGAGAAGGGAAGTTAAACAACTTTTCATTGCAAAAGCCTATTGCACCCTACAACATAATACTAAAATGGAAATTTAGAAATCTTCTAAGAGAATTAAGTTTATATTGTAACGGGTTGTTGCTTTAGGCTTTGTTTAATTTAGAAATTTGCTGGTATAGGAAATATACCCGTGTACCGCTCCATAAGGAAAGAGAATAGAGAACATAAAGCGCGTTAATAAACTAAACGAAACGCCACAGTGAAACGCAGGATTTGTATTGGCTAAGAGGGTACGCTTTCCGCAAAAGTTGCGGTAAAAAAAGGAGGTCGTTTGGTATTTGGGATTCGGCGAGGTATTTAAGTAAAAATCTGGTGGGAGAGAGGCATTCTTACTACAATCTGAAGAGAATCTATGGCGGTTGAGCGCTGCATTTTTTTATCGCGTATTGATTTCTTAGTCGAACTTTGGGTGCAAATTCACGTATCGCGAGTGTGGAGATAGATCGCGTAAAACTAAATGCTTCACCAAGCTGTCAAGACGAAGATGACTATCTTAATAGAAAACAATCCTGGCGTCCCGATTAATTTGCAGCTCATGTGCACCGGGCCTAATACGTACACGAACATTTTCGTTTCGGAGGATTATTGGATTGTGCGGTGCTCGTTCTCAAATAAATCGTTACCACGAAAGCGTTGGGGTTCAAGGTACAAAAATTGCGTTGCCTTATTTTTTGGAGTGGCTAATTACCTCCAAAAACCATTTTGTTAATCAAACCTTCTGAATGGGATTGTAAGGTGTGAATGCAATAATAAACTTTTCTACAGTGGCAGTTTTTTGCAGTACTTGAAGTACCTACTCTAAATTAACAGATTATATTGTTAAGAAAGTGAACGGTTAGAGAGAACTTTTTGTATATTAATTTTACATGTCAATCAAGTGTGTTGGAAGTAAAATTCAGGTAGGTCGTATTTTTTCTGTCATAGAGTAATTTCATTTGAATCTTTTCAAAATGTGAGAATTTTAAGTATTTAATTCCTCCAGAAACGAAGGATGATGACAATTATTCATTTTATAGAACCGGTCTAAACGTTTATTGATGTCCATGAACCTAGCAGAGCAAGGTCAGCAGAACACAATCAAACATATTGCATAATTAGGTGCTAATTAAGTGCCCTATTCCCGAATTAAATGCTCCTTTTTTTTAAAAACCATTACATGCTTTGCCAGGTTCATATGAACTCAGCAGAACACTACCTCAAAAAACCAAGAAAATGAAAAGTGAACTAATTATAAGTATGTGCATTGAATAAAATTATTCAATGGTATGTGCTAATTAAGTGCCCTATCTCCGAATTAAATGCTCCTATTTTTTAAAAAATTATTACATGTTCTGCCAGGTTCATAATTTAAAAAAAGGAGCATTTCATTCGGGAATAGGGCACTTAAATAGCACCTAATTATCATCATTAACCACTTCCAAAAGCTGCCGAGAAAGCGAAAGAAATCATAGGTTAGCAGTGGAAAAACCAAATTAGAACTAATAAATTGTAAGCAACCTCAAACACGGTTGTGGACCGCTTTCAATCATTGCGAGATTCACATTCAACGAGTAACCAGATAAAGGCGCTCCGCCATCCAATTTTCCAAATAGGTGCTGCCTTCCAAAAGAGAAAATCAGTTGTCAAATTTGTGTATTTCTTATGAATGATAAGGGAAGCCAAATCAAAGTGATTGGTACAGTTTTTTTTCATTAATTGTGAAAGTGAATCTTAAGATCATTAGTACCATTCTTTTGTGTGGGTTACAAATTCTATTTAGCATCGAAAGGTGTGTAAATTTGTTTTTTGAATAGAATTTTGTACTTGGTATTGAAGTAATTATAAATCGTAAAAAAATCTATGTCATTAATTAGATTTTGACGTGATCACGAGACACACAAAAAATTAATTGTTACAGTAAAATCTCTACTAGTGTGCTAGAGAATAAAATTTATTTTTTACAAGATGGGTTTCTAACCCTTCTAAATCTCACTAGCCCGTTACAAGATGTTCAAATTTTATTTACAAAATTTAAGGGTTAATGAGTGAATACTGAAAATCAATCATAATAAATTGAATCCTTGGTAGATAGATCGTAATGTTACATATAAAATTATATTTATCAAATTTTTCGTATCTTGCCAAATAAAAGAGATATTGAAGTGACCCTCTTATCTCGAACCTACTGTATAATCATATAAAATGATGATGATGTGATACGTCAATGTAATCAGGAAAAATAATGCAAAATAGACGTTAAGATATGCAGGGTGTTACATTTAATAAAAAAATGGGATCAAATCTCAGAAAGGGTGGTTCCAGGAGTGGTCCAAAATTTTGTTTTGACTACGCCACCTGATTCTAGGTAAAAATACCTAAAACAGGCAGATATGATAACATCCCAAAAAGTCAAACTTTTCGTTTTTACCCTGTATCTTAGAAACAAACGGACCTAGACTGTTTCGGTTTGTGGTATTAAAAGTTTCACAAAAAAAACGGCACATCTCTATCTTAAAAACAGCTAAGACACACTGCAGTGTCAACTAAAATAGGACACATGGTACAGAATTTAACACTTCTCGAGTTCATGACTTCAAATATTTCGTCTCAAATGCTGCTCAATTTGATTAAAAATTCGCGATCGAGAAGCTTGGATTTTTCAAAGGGCTTTTCTTATAGCAATGAAATATTGGATGCCTTGCAACTTTCTTCTTAACTTTTTTTTCTAAAATTGATAATGACCGAAGTATACAATAAGAACATGAAAAATGACAGATCTCTAATAAGCAATGCATTTTCCAAAAAAGCTCATCAAATCGAGTCATAAAGCTGCTAGCTCCCAAGATCGCTGCATTGGAAAAAAAATCACCCTGTATTTCATGGCGCAGATAATAATTCACGTTAATAGATTTTCATAATTCCATATCTAATGAGCAACAAGGGTAATAGGAGTTGTAAACTACGTTATAATTAAAGTAGTCTAGTGTGGCTAATGTAGTTTGTGTAATATAGATTCTTGTACGTTACAAATACTTACGGTTGGCTCTCTGTGTGTGGGATTGGGATTACAACGGTATTAACAGCTTACCTGAAATAAAATCGACCATTAGTAATATAATATTCAATCAAACCTGTTGTATGAGTAGTGTCATTAATGATTGTAGCATGTTGAGTTGCGCTAATTTCTTAATCCTGTCATTTCGACTGAATTGAAATGAAATCAATCGATTCAAATTCGTGTATTATTTTTTTAAAGGACATGAAAGTCTAGTGTTCAAAACTCAGGATGGTGGTTTTTCTGTGGAAACGAGTTCGATTCATTACAATTTTTGTGTGTTTTTGTTGCAACTTGTGTGGATAATAACGGGTGACAAGGGTTGGATGAGACTTTGAGACATAAATTCAATCATAATGGATTTGGGAATGGTTACACAAAGAAGCACGGCAGTGTCCACAACATCTCAAGCAGATGACTACTGTTTTTCTCTATTTGGACACAATTGTCTAAAAAATTTGCAAAAGAAGCTGTGTGTGAAGAACTAATCTCGTAACAAAGGTGCAAGTGTTAAAAGCTGGAAGCAGTGGCCGAAATTTTAAAGTCGAGTAAAACTAAAACGCCAGTTTCATCACCCAAAAGCATTAGTTTTATTATTTATGATACCCAACACGAAATACTAGCATTATCATAACACAACTTTCACCGCATTTCAAAGTGGAAACATTAATTGCTGTAATTTTTGTTTGTTATTCTTGAGGAACACGCGCAATGCCCCACCCAGTTAAAAAGTCATCGAAGAACACCCACATCAATTGCACAACGTTCGTTTTTAAATTATCGCAAAATTATACCCCGGAGGCTATTAAAGAAGCTTCCAACTGCCTACCATTTTAAGCTATCGATACCTTTCACGACATGAAGCACTCACACACGCGTCGCATTAGTATGATTTATATCGTCTGTCTCGCAGACGAGCTTTTTACATTCGTAACGTGTTAACTATTAGTATTCATTAGTGACGTTCAATATATACAAGAATTTCTTAAAGAATCTAAATACCCACCGCGTCGATCGACTACGAAATTATCTACGCTCAGATTCGATTTTCATCTAATTGTTAATAATCGTTAAAATGGAATTTGTGTTTTGCGATATGGGCGCACTTAACTCCATCAGGTTACTTATTGCATAACAAACTTCTATAGCGATCCGGTCTCTTTGTGCCGCTGGAATTTCGTTTGTAAATTCCTTTGTGGTGTAGGTCGCGTGCAAATATTTGGATAATTGGACGGTTTAATCTTGATAAAAATTATTTACGAATTAATTAAGATAAGCCCGAAAGAGTTGTGTATCTCTATTAAGATCGCTTGGCTTAGAGAAAGCCCACTAGAGAAACCGTTCCTACAACTTTTACATTTGAGACACTGTGTACGCGCATAATACGTAACTGAAATTCGGAATTGCAAATTTTCAGGCACTAACGAAGTCGAATTCTGGACATTACCTTAGATTTTCATTTTTTACGCGTTTGAAGAAATGATGAAGATAGTAGGAAGACCGAAAAAGGGGAAGGATAGGGTCCAGGCCGAATTATTACAGTACGCATTAGAATGGCTAATAAAGGACCTACATGAATCAATTGATATTCACGACCAGGAGGATTCTAGACGAACACTGGAGGACAAGAACCAAATATGGCTTCTAGCAATAGACCTGGCGAAGGCCTTCGACCAAGTGAAGCATGAAGCATTAGTAACCTCTCAGACATTACTGCGACTGCCCAAATTCTCAACTAGAATTATAATAAGGAGTATACTAGTATACAATGGATTTGGGTAGAAGACCGAGCACCAAATGAAAACCTGAGGAATCAAACAAGGATGTCCGCTATCCGCAAGGCTCTTCGCGATAGCACTGAACAACTCCATAGAGCAAACAAGGAGGGTGGTGAGGAAGTACAGGACGGATGACCACTTACAACTACCGACACTATTGGCGTACGCGTACGACTCGTAATCGCGGACAAGAAAGAAGATTTCGAGACCTTCGTCCCAACCGGCGAGGTATACTTGGAGATGGCCCGCCTACGAATAAACAACGAAAAGACCTGCATGATTATAAGAGATCCAGAAAGCAAGATTCAACACAAGTAGTCCGGGTTTTTCAGGCAGGTGAAATGAATAGAAATTGGGCAAAAAATAATTAAAACAGCTGAATTTTTCCGCGGGTGAAATCCCGGGGGTTGAAAGGAGTGGAAAGTGGTGTTTTGGAAATTGTGGCGAAACTATTAATTTTAGACGATAATGTTAAATGTAAAAGTTATAGAGATTAAAAAAGTGAGCAACTTTTGTATCTGCACTATTTTCACATAGAGCCGAATTCAGAGTCCTCCCTAATTTCAAACTCACACTCAACTAGTTAGTCACTCATTTCTAACTCAAGTTAGTGCGAATCCTGCTCATTCTCACTTTTGGTATTCAGAGAACATCTGTAATGCGTGACTAATTTGAGTGGGGTTTTAGTATGGAATCTGTCAAAAATATTGTTAGGGGAACGATTGGTAGTGGAAATTTTACCAAGTAACTAACAAACCGCTCTGGAAAGGCTAACTTCAGCATAAACAGATATTTAATTTGAACTTGTTTCTGACGTTTTCGCAAATCTCATAGTTTTTGTTAGTCTTCTTATTAGTTTATGTTATTGGGGTTATTAATTTTGTTACTGTTAATATTGTTCTTATCGTCATAACTATGAACGCCAATAAAAAACCATTTATAACCCGAGATGAGAAGATTTTTAGCATTGGAAATGCTTATGTTTTGTATGGGTTTGAAGTTACTGGTTAGTCGAGCAGAAAAGAAGACAATTGGTGTCGCATCAAGTGATGATTGTCCCGTACTTGACTGCAATCGGTAGATTCAGGAAAAGTCGCGGATACTGTCGATACGGTAGGTACTTACGTAACAGTGCGCAAGGGATTTGTTAATTCGAATCTAAATTTATCGCACATCGCCCGTGATGGTATTACACGCATGTTACGACACGAGCAAGCTTGCGAGCGAGTGGAGCAAGTGATACTTGTACGGTTATTATTTCCAATACCTCCGATGGTTGCAAGGATTGCGAAATCTGTGAATTTTTTTTAAGAAATTGTGACCCGGTATATTAACATCGTCGAATGTAAGAAGACCGATGCTGTGTCCGTGTCACAACGAAAAAAGGTCTGGCAGGCAATCGTGTCCTTTACTTACTAAGTTAATGTCTATAACAACACACTTAAAAACTACTTTGCAATAAAATATTCTAACAAACACAGGAAACACATTTGACATAACCAAGTTATTTTAAATTAGTGACACTTAAGGGTAGTCCAAAGCTGACTTACATCGTACTCATCTCTTATACTCACTAGTTAGTAAGATTTTAGTCACTCATGCCCAGTTGCACCAACAAAATTAAGCCTTGCTTAAAGTTAAGTCGAACTTAAAATCTATGGCAACGATTATTAAGACAATCGTTGCTATGGTAGTTAAGTGATGCTTAACTTTGAGCGATACTTAATTTTGACGGTGTAATTGGCTATCATTCAGTCTAATTTGTTTCTGAATACCAATGTCAGAGTTTAGGTTGAAATTAGTAGGATCTGAGTGAGTTTGAAATTAGGAAGGACTCTGAATTTGGCTCATAGCCTCCAATTTTCCTAGAAAATCCGGAAAACTGTTTTTTTCCTTTTTTATTCTTATTTTTGCGAAAAAATGTCGATTTCACGATTCACGATTTCTGAAAAAACCCACCTCTTTTTCAAGGGGATGAAAAATCTATTTTTTTTGCAAATAAATTAACGTATTGGATCCGCGTTAATAAAAAGTTTTTGAAATTTGTCTTCTCTCTCCTCTTTAATGTTGCTAAAATATTTTCTTTTGTTTCCTAGTGCCCAACTGCATTAATTAAACATCTTTACTATTTCTTTTTTCTGCATTTTTACCGCAATAAAAGCAATTTGAAGTAAAATCGAATTCTTTTGCTTCCTGAACAATTTGTTTCTGTTCACTAACTCTTCTTTCTGCCTGTTTTACAGCTGATGGGATTAAGCTGAGCCTGTTGATCGTTAATTTACAGGAATTATGAATATAAAATCCTCATAATGTTAAATCCAGGTTTTACATCTCAAATCATTTGCTTTGGCCGGTAAAACTAACGTTCTTATTGCAGATTTTGCAAGTTTATCAACAGCCCCAACGCAATTGCAACAGCATAAAACAGACAGGAAGAAGAGTCAGTGAACAAAAAGAAATTGTGCAGGAATCAGGAAGCAATAAGATAATCTGATTTTATTTCGAATTGCTTTTATTGCGGTAAAAATGCAGAAGAAAGAACTAATAAAGAAGTTTTAACTAAAACAGTTAAACATAGGATAACAAAAGAGAATATTTAAGCAAACATTAAAGAGAAGCAAGAAGACAGATTTCGAAAAAATCTTTATTAACATCCAACATGTTGCTTTATCATGCCAAAAACCGTGTATATCTTAAAACTGTTTTTCCAGTTTTTGGCGATTTTCTCCAATTTTGCTATAGGAATAATATTTTTTTATTTTTGTTTATTAAAATATAAGCCTTCCCGAAAATTTTGCTACCCCGCGCACCTCTGTACGATGAAAAAAATAGATTTTTCATCCCCTTGAAGAAGATGTCGTTTTTTTCAGAAATCGTGAGATCTTGGAAACGGTTCAACTTTATATTTCCTCCAAATTTAAAACCCCTGCGACTTTTTTTTCGCAAAACTAAGAATAAAAAACAAAAAAACAGTTTTTGCGGTTTTTCTAGGAAAATTGGAGGTTAACTGAAAATAGTGCAAATACAAAAGTTTCTCATTTTTTTAAATCTCTATAACTTTTTCATTTAACATTTTCGTCTAAAATTAATAGTTTTGCCACAATTTGCAAAAAGTGCCTGAAAAACCCGGTTTCACCCGTTAACTAATTTTTTTGTAAAAAAAATATTATATAGCCTGGACTAAAGGAAGAAAGATCAGAATAGCTGTGAGGGGGATAACCGTGAAGCACAAACTTAAATATCTGGGAGCGTACATAAGTAGCACTGTAACGGTCTAGTCAAATAATCCAGGATTATTGTTTAATCCGGTATTAAGCCATTTGATTGGCTTTATATTGCAGTAGGCAGCCAATCAAATATCAAAATTCTTGCTTAAAGTCAGATTTGGCAAATAATGTAGGATTTTGATTATAATTCGCTTTCCTGCCACCGGCCGTAAGTGGGCACAAACAGAATAAACAACGCATTCAGAGACACACAGGGAATCCGGAACATCACACGAGAGAAGAAAATACCGGACAGCTTGAAAATGCTGCTATACAACACGATCATAGCTTCGACAATCTTATACGAAGTGAATTCCCCAGCGCTAACAAAGAGCAATAGACAAACAATGAGGAGGGCGGAACGGAAGGCACAAAGGATACTGATGGAAAACAGCAACCTCACAAGAAAGCAGATAAGGGAATTACTAGAAGGAAAGACAATCACCAGGAGACTGAAGATGAGGCAGCTAAGATATTGGAGGAACAAAGGCCATATCTAGGAACCCATATTCTTCAGGTGGCTCGGAATGGAAAGTTGGCCGTACCAAGTATACAACTTGTAGGGTTTTCCGATGGTGGCGTATGGAAATTGCCTGTATCTCGCGGGCTAAACCCCGAGGCTTTGTTGGTGTGTAAGACTTGGTTCTAAGGGTCCGATCGGATCCAGATGACTTTTTAAAAGCTGAACAAAATACAGGTTTACATCATTTCTCATTATCTTCGAATGTCCGAGCGTAATCATCCCAGGAAGAAATTCCTATACTCCCGTACTGGAATACCAAGCCCATCCTAAATCAATAATCTCTATATTTTGTGCCTCCTTCAGTTACCTTCTAAAACGTCTGACATTATAATGCAGGTTACTATTCGGTGCATTGTGAGGAATGGAGAAATTATGTGGTTTTCCGATTTGCATAACCTACTATACATTCCTTCGTCGAAATTACATCTTAGGTCGAGGTCAGCCGTAGTGCTAATAAATACCCCTGCTTGTGCAATCGTGAATAATTAATCCGTTAACGTGGAACGAAGCCACTTATACGGTAACATAAACATTTCTTCCATATTTAGTTTCTTCGTTACAAATTATGTTGTGTATTCTTCCAATAATGGTCACATTTACAAGTGTGCGAATGAAAATGCCGGTATTATGAGACGTTTTGCGGCACTTTTTTTGAAATGGTTTGCAGGCAGAGCCACGCCTCGTGACATATTTATTTGATCATTGTTCGTGGTTCAAAGGTGTAATTTTACATAAAATTCTATCAGTACACGTTTTCTCTTGCTCTTCCCCGATCCATTATTATTAACGGCCGCGTTCATATCACATGCTAATGAGTGTAAATCTCGCGATAAAATGTGCACATGTGCACGAAAGCAATTATAAAACCTCCCCGATAAGTGGAAGAACTGATCTTGAGTATTACCACATTCATCGCAAAGCCTTAATGGATAAAAGCGACGAAGGGAATGCCTTTTTAATAGAAATTTCCATTATACCTTCGTAAATCGTTAATCTTGATTAAATGGAAGCGTCGCGGTCGTACAACAAAAAAATTCCCACTATCTCCAATTTTGCACGAGCGATTTTTATGCTTTTCTTTTAGATATTTGATCGTCGCGCGATTTTTTTTACCGAACGAAGTCGGTAAAGACCTCGAACGAAAATTGAATTGGAATGCTTTCAAGTCGTCTTTATGTGCAGGCAGCAGAGAATATCGTTTATTTCCATTTTGTGTTTCTATTATGTATTGCGCGGTGGCGTGCAGATATCTCGAATTGAGACAGAATAGTAAAATTATATGTTTCGCCCACTCGATGTACAGAAGTAGTCGGTGATAATGAACGGTTTGTTCTGCTGAAGACACTGAGTTGTTGCCTTAATGGCCTGTCGCCCATGACTTCAACAACTGTAACCTGAGTTTGTCATTTGTAAACATTGCGGTTTTCATTTTTTGAGAAGTGAGCTCGCGATTTCTGCCAAATTCAAACTTTCTAAATTAATATTGAATTGAATTGTTGTTTTTCAACTTGAGCGTCGTGTTTCGAACACAAGTTGGTGGATTAAATGGGATCAATATCAGAATTCGGAATACAACTTTTGCGTCGACCAGTCAGACATTGGGGGAATTTGAAACTTCCTATCAGAGCTATAGTTCCAGCCCTCGATGTTTCGAAATTATTTCATTTTTTAAGAAATTCAGTCTCATATCCACTGAGACGACGAAATAGGCCTTTTCCTATTTCATGGTTCGAAAATCGAAACCCTGGAGCAGATTCGCCGCGATTTTCTTTGCTTTAAATTCGCCCAATGCTTGTGGACGCGAAGTATGGGCGGTATGAATTTGCGTGTGACAATTCGCGGCAAATTCGCTCCATCTGGACATGATCTTAAACCCACAAATAACCAAACCGATGAATTGGGGACGCATTTTTGTGAAAAAAATTTCATAGCAAAGAATCGAACCCTGGCCGCCCGGGTGTAAATCCGGATATTCTAGCCACTATAACATTGTCGTACACATTCAATCGTGACTAAACATTTCAACATTTTGAGTGTCCACGTGGTTACTAAACAATAACGATTCCAACGTGATTTTCTTTAAAAACAAAATGAAACTCAATCCACACTCTAATACATCTAGGGATTGAGCTATAACGCGGTAGAAATACAACTATTTGGTGCACTGCAAATCTTCTCAATACGAATGAGAAAAGTCACTATTAGAATTCTTAATTCCAAAATTGATAGGGGTGATATTCATATTTAAACAATACATGCCTCTCCAATTGCATAAAGTTTTTCAAGACTTCCCCAACGTAAGTTAATGTAATACAAAGTGTTCTCAAAATAACAAGTGAAAATTTGGCATGCAACAAAAAGGTATTCATTTCGAAGGGTGTTTCTTTGAGGTGAATATTCCGAGGGTGAATTTTTCAAATTAAAAGTAGGTAAACTATTCGATTCGCGGTAGTGTGGATATTTTTGCATATTCATTGCTCTCAGTTTTCACCAATCATTTCCTCTGTTAAGATCGTTAAAATCTCACGTTTACTTTAAGAAAAAGCAAATTAAAGATAATTGTTAGAACTTTACGCACCACCGACACGTATCGGATGTTATCGTTAGCACTAACGCAGAAGTAATCAATTGCGAATCGGTCTTGATTTTCTCGCAAGTTAGAAATCGCCTTAGATCACACCCAAGCGAAGCAATTAAATTTTTTCTCGCTGCGCCTTCCCCACGCAAGATTAGTATCAAGGTAATGCGGTGGTCCATAATTTTATAGAGCTGAATCGTAAATACTGCCATACGAATTGTTTATTGCTAATTAAGTAATTATGCTATTTATATTATTTCTACATCTTTGATCTTGAGAGAGAATATAAATGGTAGGTACAACTTCTAGCTATGGTGACATTTATTACGAAGTGATTCTCGTCAAGGCCCGAATCGGTCTTTTTCTCTGGAAAACGTGTGGAAAATCAGGCGGTTTGGAATTTTAAATTTGGTGACAATGAAAAACTCCCCACAATTCTTTGCAATTGCAGGAATCTGCCTCATAAGAATGACAAAGGGTTGAAAGTTATAAATTGCAATCATGTTATACAATATTCCAATTGTCAGTTACCCAGAGTCGAGTCCAGCTTCAAGATATTCAAACTTTTTTTTCTAACAAAAAAGCTGATAAAAAGATATTCATATTACCGTGTATGAAGATACAAATTGTATGATGTTTTTTAGATCACGTAACATTTTGATAAATGCGAGGGGTATGTAGAATAGGAAAAATCCATAGTCAAAAAATAAAGGAGAAGAACACAAATAGTTCGTGGAATTGGAAGAATTTTAAAAAAAAAACCAGCAAATACGAAGAAAACAAAAAATTGAAAAATCGAAGGAAATCCGAAAATAAAATAGTTTATGGATCTAAAGTATGAAGATTTTAAAAATCTGAAGAATTAGGAGAAACAGCAGAATGCTTTAATAATAAAAATCCAAAATTCTAAAGAATCCCGTTTTAGCACGCCAGCTAGGTATAGATTTTGATTTAAATTTTTCAATTTTTTTCACAGTAAAGTAGAAATTTTTAGATTAAAGTAAGTATCATGGTTCTAAATTATTTTCCAGACAAATATTGGTCTTGGAACAGAATGGACTGGTTGATTACAACCACTAACCTTTTGAATGGCTCTTTTGTTCTCTTAATTACTTCAGGGTGGTGGTGCAATGGCGAGAGTTTTTCTCGGGTTCAGACGATTTTATAAGAGGAATTCGCATTCTGACAATGAAAGCGACCAGTCGCCCTATAACAATTGGAATTCGCGTTTAGGTAATTGAAGAAGTTCAAAGTTTGTGATCATCTTTGTGGAAGGGCACAATGCGTTAATTAAAAAGAAGTTTGTAATAAGTAATAAGGCTGACTTGCATCCAAATATAAAAGTGCATTCGTTAGCGTATTTTTTCTATAAAAATTTGATGTGTCCGAGCATTTCCGAATTCGTAAATTTCACTTAGAACACTCGGGGTACCAATTTTGCGCACCTTTGGAACCTAACGTTTTGTAGACGATATTTGCATTCAGTAGAAACGTAAAATTGTAGCGTTGAGAACATCGCTTGTATACCAAATGCGCGAAATTACCGTTTTACCATTATAATTCTCCACACAAAGTCAAAAATGCCAAAATCCTCGCATTTCTGAACGGCGGCGGCGTCCCACAAAAATCTAAATCAGCCATCGTAACGGCAAAAACTTTATCAAATAATAATCGAACTGTACGAATCATTGACCTTAATTCTTGCATCGATCAAATCATTGCTCGAAGGGAACTTGAGGCTATTATTTACAACGACTGACAAATTATATATTACAGTTTGTGTCTTGGAATAAAGGCAAGGCTACCAATTCAAACGCTTTTCTGACAAATCGAGAAAAGGAAGCAATAAAATTGTGCGGCTGCACTGACCTTTTGGTGTCAGGAATGAGAGTGGTAAATAGCGGGCGGACAAAGACGATTGTATGCTAATTCAAAGCTGGAGGATGAAAAATGGATTAGGTGTTAATATGCGTATCTTCCGGATTTTAAGATTGCACAAGAGGTGGCGTGTTTTTCGATTTTTAAAAAGCGCACTCGACCATTTTTATTTTCAGCGGTAGCTTCTTCAGGAACAAGGTATTCGTTCCTTAAGGCTTTACAGTATACATATTAAAACAAGATTAAGAGCACACCAAATACCAAAAATTTACCAAAGATTAAATCGATCCAACTACTTGTCTAGGGAGTAGCTTCCACCCCTTTTTCTTTTGCAACAAATTTCCGTCACAAATCCATAAAATCCTGAATCGACCAACAGGTAAAAAGGTCTACCTAGCAATTGTAATAGAAACCGCAAACCATCTAAACTAAAGGATTGTCTTAGAAGCCGTTATTTCATTTCTCTTTATTGTTTTGAAACTTCCTCTAAGATGGAAGGCTTAGTATTCGCAATTTTTGTCCTTATTTGCTTATAGGAGTTTTCCTACAGTCTATCTCGCAGATCTTCC